GCATACGTACTGTGGATTACACACTCATCGAGCGTATGGGGAGCAAATGCGAGACCAACGAAAATTGGTGCGGCCTTACCCTCGTCGCAGTGTGACTGACTTTACAGAGAAGATGATACGGAATCCGGGTACTGAAGGTCGTACCTTGTATCCGTATCTTTATCAACGATACCCTTCGATCACTCACATTTTATCATGACTCACTCATTTTGTTGCGCACTCAGAAAATTTGCGGACGCATCGATCCCGCTCATGGTCGTCTCGGTTCCACTACAAGACGGTAATCAAGCATGCCAACAAAGAGTAGTTCGTACGATCAACTGAAGACTTAGCTAATCCATGACTTTCCAGTCGAGGTCCAGCCTGACTTAACCGGTTTATGGCGGCGGGATAAGCAAGCTACGATTGCACATGAACTGGCGGGTCGTGCTAGTATTTGTTGGCATGATGCATCGACACGAGTATGCGCTTGTCCCTTGAAAGCCATCGGCATTTTGATCTTCACGTTTTGCATTGACCCTTTTGCAACACTCGCTACGTCTCGCAAGGTCCATGATTCGGTCCGCCAAATAGCTGCTGCACGTCACATGTACTGCTTTCTTTTCTCAGATTCCAAACCGACAGAGAACCAGTGTGATTGGTTGCAGTAAGTTCAAGCTCTGTTGTCGATGGTCAATTTGTTTGCATAACGCGCATCGTGATTTGTGCTGTGCAAAGCATTCCAGCACGAAAAACGGGACGCAGTATTAATCTATAGTACAGCACGTGACTTCGCCTTCAATACATAGAGACATAGAGGAGAACGATGGTAGACTGGTGAAACTGGTATCCACCCAATCAGCAAAAGGTTTTCGCAAGGTATTCGTGTTGCGACCTGTAGAGTGGTGACGCCACGTCAGGATTCTGGCACGTGATCCTCCCACTACCAGGAGCGACGGTTTTTCCCTGCTCTGTTATCCAGTCTGGGGCGGTGCACCGTTCCTTAGTGACCTTGGTGTGAACCCTTACGAGCTCACCACAATGTCGACTCCTAGTTTGAGACGGGCGCGCCTTCCACACCCTGTGGATAGTGACGCCGTCACGCGTGTCACAACCCTCGTACCTCACTACCCGGACAGAAGTGTTCCGTTACAAGTTGGCGCCACCCAACCCGGTGATTCATGGAGCCAGCTCGCGTCTACAACAACGACAAACTGTTGATACTTCGAAACCCGCTTCACACCATAGCTACTTCAAGGACACTTCACTAATACACACACATACTATCCTCAACGAGAACTGTAACGCGTGAGTCACACATGTCCATTGGTCTGATGATAAATTGACGCGTACAGTAATATATGAGACTCTCATGATGTGCATACGTACTGTGGATTACACACTCATCGAGCGTATGGGGAGCAAATGCGAGACCAACGAAAATTGGTGCGGCCTTACCCTCGTCGCAGTGTGACTGACTTTACAGAGAAGATGATACGGAATCCGGGTACTGAAGGTCGTACCTTGTATCCGTATCTTTATCAACGATACCCTTCGATCACTCACATTTTATCATGACTCACTCATTTTGTTGCGCACTCAGAAAATTTGCGGACGCATCGATCCCGCTCATGGTCGTCTCGGTTCCACTACAAGACGGTAATCAAGCATGCCAACAAAGAGTAGTTCGTACGATCAACTGAAGACTTAGCTAATCCATGACTTTCCAGTCGAGGTCCAGCCTGACTTAACCGGTTTATGGCGGCGGGATAAGCAAGCTACGATTGCACATGAACTGGCGGTCGTGCTAGTATTTGTTGGCATGATGCATCGACACGAGTATGCGCTTGTCCCTTGAAAGCCATCGGCATTTTGATCTTCACGTTTTGCATTGACCCTTTTGCAACACTCGCTACGTCTCGCAAGGTCCATGATTCGGTCCGCCAAATAGCTGCTGCACCTCACATGTACTGCTTTCTTTTCTCAGATTCCAAACCGACAGAGAACCAGTGTGATTGGTTGCAGTAAGTCCAAGCTCTGTTGTCGATGGTCAATTTGTTTGCATAACGCGCATCGTGATTTGTGCTGTGCAAAGCATTCCAGCACGAAAAACGGGACGCAGTATTAATCTATAGTACAGCACCGTGACTTCGCCTTCAATACATAGAGACATAGAGGAGAACGATGGTAGACTGGTGAAACTGGTATCCACCCAATCAGCAAAAGGTTTTCGCAAGGTATTCGTGTTGCGACCTGTAGAGTGGTGACGCCACGTCAGGATTCTGGCACGTGATCCTCCCACTACCAGGAGCGACGGTTTTCCCTGCTCTGCTATCCAGTCTGGGGCGGTGCACCGTTCCTTAGTGACCTTGGTGTGAACCCTTACGAGCTCACCACAATGTCGACTCCTAGTTTGAGACGGGCGCGCCTTCCACACCCTGTGGATAGTGACGCCGTCACGCGTGTCACAACCCTCGTACCTCACTACCCGGACAGAAGTGTTCCGTTACAAGTTGGCGCCACCCAACCCGGTGATTCATGGAGCCAGCTCGCGTCTACAACAACGACAAACTGTTGATACTTCGAAACCCGCTTCACACCATAGCTACTTCAAGGACACTTCACTAATACACACACATACTATCCTCAACGAGAACTGTAACGCGTGAGTCACACATGTCCATTGGTCTGATGATAAATTGACGCGTACAGTAATATATGAGACTCTCATGATGTGCATACGTACTGTGGATTACACACTCATCGAGCGTATGGGGAGCAAATGCGAGACCAACGAAAATTGGTGCGGCCTTACCCTCGTCGCAGTGTGACTGACTTTACAGAGAAGATGATACGGAATCCGGGTACTGAAGGTCGTACCTTATATCCGTATCTTCATCAACGATACCCTTCGATCACTCACATTTTATCATGACTCACTCATTTTGTTGCGCACTCAGAAAATTTGCGGACGCATCGATCCCGCTCATGGTCGTCTCGGTTCCACTACAAGACGGTAATCAAGCATGCCAACAAAGAGTAGTTCGTACGATCAACTGAAGACTAAGCTAATCCATGACTTTCCAGTCGAGGTCCAGCCTGACTTAACCGGTTTATGGCGGCGGGATAAGCAAGCTACGATTGCACATGAACTGGCGGTCGTGCTAGTATTTGTTGGCATGATGCATCGACACGAGTATGCGCTTGTCCCTTGAAAGCCATCGGCATTTTGATCTTCACGTTTTGCATTGACCCTTTTGCAACACTCGCTACGTCTCGCAAGGTCCATGATTCGGTCCGCCAAATAGCTGCTGCACCTCACATGTACTGCTTTCTTTTCTCAGATTTCAAATCGACAGAGAACCAGTGTGATTGGTTGCAGTAAGTTCAAGCTCTGTTGTCGATGGTCAATTTGTTTGCATAACGCGCATCGTGATTTGTGCTGTGCAAAGTATTCCAGCACGAAAAACGGGACGCAGTATTAATCTATAGTACAGCACCGTGACTTCGCCTTCAATACATAGAGACATAGAGGAGAACGATGGTAGACTGGTGAAACTGGTATCCACCCAATCAGCAAAAGGTTTTCGCAAGGTATTCGTGTTGCGACCTGTAGAGTGGTGACGCCACGTCAGGATTCTGGCACGTGATCCTCCCACTACCAGGAGCGACGGTTTTTCCCTGCTCTGCTATCCAGTCTGGGGCGGTGCACCGTTCCTTAGTGACCTTGGTGTGAACCCTTACGAGCTCACCACAATGTCGACTCCTAGTTTGAGACGGGCGCGCCTTCCACACCCTGTGGATAGTGACGCCGTCACGCGTGTCACAACCCTCGTACCTCACTACCCGGACAGAAGTGTTCCGTTACAAGTTGGCGCCACCCAACCCGGTGATTCATGGAGCCAGTTCGCGTCTACAACAACGACAAACTGTTGATACTTCGAAACCCGCTTCACACCATAGCTACTTCAAGGACACTTCACTAATACACACACATACTATCCTCAACGAGAACTGTAACGCGTGAGTCACACATGTCCATTGGTCTGATGATAAATTGACGCGTACAGCAATATATGAGACTCTCATGATGTGCATACGTACTGTGGATTACACACTCATCGAGCGTATGGGGAGCAAATGCGAGACCAACGAAAATTGGTGCGGCCTTACCCTCGTCGCAGTGTGACTGACTTTACAGAGAAGATGATACGGAATCCGGGTACTGAAGGTCGTACCTTATATCCGTATCTTCATCAACGATACCCTTCGATCACTCACATTTTATCATGACTCACTCATTTTGTTGCGCACTCAGAAAATTTGCTGACGCATCGATCCCGCTCATGGTCGTCTCGGTTCCACTACAAGACGGTAATCAAGCATGCCAACAAAGAGTAGTTCGTACGATCAACTGAAGACTAAGCTAATCCATGACTTTCCAGTCGAGGTCCAGCCTGACTTAACCGGTTTATGGCGGCGGGATAAGCAAGCTACGATTGCACATGAACTGGCGGTCGTGCTAGTATTTGTTGGCATGATGCATCGACACGAGTATGCGCTTGTCCCTTGAAAGCCATCGGCATTTTGATCTTCACGTTTTGCATTGACCCTTTTGCAACACTCGCTACGTCTCGCAAGGTCCATGATTCGGTCCGCCAAATAGCTGCTGCACCTCACATGTACTGCTTTCTTTTCTCAGATTTCAAATCGACAGAGAACCAGTGTGATTGGTTGCAGTAAGTTCAAGCTCTGTTGTCGATGGTCAATTTGTTTGCATAACGCGCATCGTGATTTGTGCTGTGCAAAGTATTCCAGCACGAAAAACGGGACGCAGTATTAATCTATAGTACAGCACCGTGACTTCGCCTTCAATACATAGAGACATAGAGGAGAACGATGGTAGACTGGTGAAACTGGTATCCACCCAATCAGCAAAAGGTTTTCGCAAGGTATTCGTGTTGCGACCTGTAGAGTGGTGACGCCACGTCAGGATTCTGGCACGTGATCCTCCCACTACCATGAGCGACGGTTTTTCCCTGCTCTGCTATCCAGTCTGGGGCGGTGCACCGTTACTTAGTGACCTTGGTGTGAACCCTTACGAGCTCACCACAATGTCGACTCCTAGTTTGAGACGGGCGCGCCTTCCACACCCTGTGGATAGTGACGCCGTCACGCGTGTCACAACCCTCGTACCTCACTACCCGGACAGAGGAGTTCCGTTACAAGTTGGCGCCACCCAACCCGGTGATTCATGGAGCCAGTTCGCGTCTACAACAACGACAAACTGTTGACACTTCGAAACCCGCTTCACACCATAGCTACTTCAAGGACCCTTCACTAATACACACACATACTATCCTCAACGAGAACTGTAACGCGTGAGTCACACATGTCCATTGGTCTGATGATAAATTGACGCGTACAGCAATATATGAGACTCTCATGATGTGCATACGTACTGTGGATTACACACTCATCGAGCGTATGGGGAGCAAATGCGAGACCAACGAAAATTGGTGCGGCCTTACCCTCGTCGCAGTGTGACTGACTTTACAGAGAAGATGATACGGAATCCGGGTACTGAAGGTCGTACCTTATATCCGTATCTTCATCAACGATACCCTTCGATCACTCACATTTTATCATGACTCACTCATTTTGTTGCGCACTCAGAAAATTTGCTGACGCATCGATCCCGCTCATGGTCGTCTCGGTTCCACTACAAGACGGTAATCAAGCATGCCAACAAAGAGTAGTTCGTACGATCAACTGAAGACTAAGCTAATCCATGACTTTCCAGTCGAGGTCCAGCCTGACTTAACCGGTTTATGGCGGCGGGATAAGCAAGCTACGATTGCACATGAACTTGGGGTCGTGCTAGTATTTGTTGGCATGATGCATCGACACGAGTATGCGCTTGTCCCTTGAAAGCCATCGGCATTTTGATCTTCACGTTTTGCATTGACCCTTTTGCAACACTCGCTACGTCTCGCAAGGTCCATGATTCGGTCCGCCAAATAGCTGCTGCACCTCACATGTACTGCTTTCTTTTCTCAGATTTCAAATCGACAGAGAACCAGTGTGATTGGTTGCAGTAAGTTCAAGCTCTGTTGTCGATGGTCAATTTGTTTGCATAACGCGCATCGTGATTTGTGCTGTGCAAAGCATTCCAGCACGAAAAACGGGACGCAGTATTAATCTATAGTACAGCACCGTGACTTCGCCTTCAATACATAGAGACATAGAGGAGAACGATGGTAGACTGGTGAAACTGGTATCCACCCAATCAGCAAAAGGTTTTCGCAAGGTATTCGTGTTGCGACCTGTAGAGTGGTGACGCCACGTCAGGATTCTGGCACGTGATCCTCCCACTACCAGGAGCGACGGTTTTTCCCTGCTCTGTTATCCAGTCTGGGGCGGTGCACCGTTACTTAGTGACCTTGGTGTGAACCCTTACGAGCTCACCACAATGTCGACTCCTAGTTTGAGACGGGCGCGCCTTCCACACCCTGTGGATAGTGACGCCGTCACGCGTGTCACAACCCTCGTACCTCACTACCCGGACAGAAGCGTTCCGTTACAAGTTGGCGCCACCCAACCCGGTGATTCATGGAGCCAGTTCGCGTCTACAACAACGACAAACTGTTGATACTTCGAAACCCGCTTCACACCATAGCTACTTCAAGGACCCTTCACTAATACACACACATACTATCCTCAACGAGAACTGTAACGCGTGAGTCACACATGTCCATTGTTCTGATGATAAATTGACGCGTACAGTAATATATGAGACTCTCATGATGTGCATACGTACTGTGGATTACACACTCATCGAGCGTATGGGGAGCAAATGCGAGACCAACGAAAATTGGTGCGGCCTTACCCTCGTCGCAGTGTGACTGACTTTACAGAGAAGATGATACGGAATCCGGGTACTGAAGGTCGTACCTTATATCCGTATCTTTATCAACGATACCCTTCGATCACTCACATTTTGTCATGACTCACTCATTTTGTTGCGCACTCAGAAAATTTGCTGACGCATCGACCCCGCTCATGGTCGTCTCGGTTCCACTACAAGACGGTAATCAAGCATGCCAACAAAGAGTAGTTCGTACGATCAACTGAAGACTAAGCTAATCCATGACTTTCCAGTCGAGGTCCAGCCTGACTTAACCGGTTTATGGCGGCGGGATAAGCAAGCTACGATTGCACATGAACTTGGGGTCGTGCTAGTATTTGTTGGCATGATGCATCGACACGAGTATGCGCTTGTCCCTTGAAAGCCATCGGCATTTTGATCTTCACGTTTTGCATTGACCCTTTTGCAACACTCGCTACGTCTCGCAAGGTCCATGATTCGGTCCGCCAAATAGCTGCTGCACCTCACATGTACTGCTTTCTTTTCTCAGATTTCAAATCGACAGAGAACCAGTGTGATTGGTTGCAGTAAGTTCAAGCTCTGTTGTCGATGGTCAATTTGTTTGCATAACGCGCATCGTGATTTGTGCTGTGCAAAGCATTCCAGCACGAAAAACGGGACGCAGTATTAATCTATAGTACAGCACCGTGACTTCGCCTTCAATACATAGAGACATAGAGGAGAACGATGGTAGACTGGTGAAACTGGTATCCACCCAATCAGCAAAAGGTTTTCGCAAGGTATTCGTGTTGCGACCTGTAGAGTGGTGACGCCACGTCAGGATTCTGGCACGTGATCCTCCCACTACCAGGAGCGACGGTTTTTCCCTGCTCTGCTATCCAGTCTGGGGCGGTGCACCGTTACTTAGTGACCTTGGTGTGAACCCTTACGAGCTCACCACAATGTCGACTCCTAGTTTGAGACGGGCGCGCCTTCCACACCCTGTAAATAGTGACGCCGTCACGCGTGTCACAACCCTCGTACCTCACTACCCGGACAGAAGAGTTCCGTTACAAGTTGGCGCCACCCAACCCGGTGATTCATGGAGCCAGTTCGCGTCTACAACAACGACAAACTGTTGATACTTCGAAACCCGCTTCACACCATAGCTACTTCAAGGACCCTTCACTAATACACACACATACTATCCTCAACGAGAACTGTAACGCGTGAGTCACACATGTCCATTGGTCTGATGATAAATTGACGCGTACAGTAATATATGAGACTCTCATGATGTGCATACGTACTGTGGATTACACACTCATCGAGCGTATGGGGAGCAAATGCGAGACCAACGAAAATTGGTGCGGCCTTACCCTCGTCGCAGTGTGACTGACTTTACAGAGAAGATGATACGGAATCCGGGTACTGAAGGTCGTACCTTATATCCGTATCTTTATCAACGATACCCTTCGATCACTCACATTTTATCATGACTCACTCATTTTGTTGCGCACTCAGAAAATTTGCTGACGCATCGATCCCGCTCATGGTCGTCTCGGTTCCACTACAAGACGGTAATCAAGCATGCCAACAAAGAGTAGTTCGTACGATCAACTGAAGACTTAGCTAATCCATGACTTTCCAGTCGAGGTCCAGCCTGACTTAACCGGTTTATGGCGGCGGGATAAGCAAGCTACGATTGCACATGAACTGGCGGTCGTGCTAGTATTTGTTGGCATGATGCATCGACACGAGTATGCGCTTGTCCCTTGAAAGCCATCGGCATTTTGATCTTCACGTTTTGCATTGACCCTTTTGCAACACTCGCTACGTCTCGCAAGGTCCATGATTCGGTCCGCCAAATAGCTGCTGCACGTCACATGTACTGCTTTCTTTTCTCAGATTCCAAATCGACAGAGAACCAGTGTGATTGGTTGCAGTAAGTTCAAGCTCTGTTGTCGATGGTCAATTTGTTTGCATAACGCGCATCGTGATTTGTGCTGTGCAAAGTATTCCAGCACGAAAAACGGGACGCAGTATTAATCTATAGTACAGCACCGTGACTTCGCCTTCAATACATAGAGACATAGAGGAGAACGATGGTAGACTGGTGAAACTGGTATCCACCCAATCAGCAAAAGGTTTTCGCAAGGTATTCGTGTTGCGACCTGTAGAGTAGTGACGCCACGTCAGGATTCTGGCACGTGATCCTCCCACTACCAGGAGCGACGGTTTTTCCCTGCTCTGTTATCCAGTCTGGGGCGGTGCACCGTTCCTTAGTGACCTTGGTGTGAACGCTTACGAGCTCACCACAATGTCGACTCCTAGTTTGAGACGGGCGCGCCTTCCACACCCTGTGGATAGTGACGCCGTCACGCGTGTCACAACCCTCGTACCTCACTACCCGGACAGAAGTGTTCCGTTACAAGTTGGCGCCACCCAACCCGGTGATTCATGGAGCCAGTTCGCGTCTACAACAACGACAAACTGTTGATACTTCGAAACCCGCTTCACACCATAGCTACTTCAAGGACACTTCACTAATACACACACATACTATCCTCAACGAGAACTGTAACGCGTGAGTCACACATGTCCATTGGTCTGATGATAAATTGACGCGTACAGCAATATATGAGACTCTATTGATGTGCATACGTACTGTGGATTACACACTCATCGAGCGTATGGGGAGCAAATGCGAGACCAACGAAAATTGGTGCGGCCTTACCCTCGTCGCAGTGTGACTGACTTTACAGAGAAGATGATACGGAATCCGGGTACTGAAGGTCGTACCTTATATCCGTATCTTCATCAACGATACCCTTCGATCACTCACATTTTATCATGACTCACTCATTTTGTTGCGCACTCAGAAAATTTGCTGACGCATCGATCCCGCTCATGGTCGTCTCGGTTCCACTACAAGACGGTAATCAAGCATGCCAACAAAGAGTAGTTCGTACGATCAACTGAAGACTTAGCTAATCCATGACTTTCCAGTCGAGGTCCAGCCTGACTTAACCGGTTTATGGCGGCGGGATAAGCAAGCTACGATTGCACATGAACTGGCGGGTCGTGCTAGTATTTGTTGGCATGATGCATCGACACGAGTATGCGCTTGTCCCTTGAAAGCCATCGGCATTTTGATCTTCACGTTTTGCATTGACCCTTTTGCAACACTCGCTACGTCTCGCAAGGTCCATGATTCGGTCCGCCAAATAGCTGCTGCACGTCACATGTACTGCTTTCTTTTCTCAGATTCCAAATCGACAGAGAACCAGTGTGATTGGTTGCAGTAAGTTCAAGCTCTGTTGTCGATGGTCAATTTGTTTGCATAACGCGCATCGTGATTTGTGCTGTGCAAAGTATTCCAGCACGAAAAACGGGACGCAGTATTAATCTATAGTACAGCACCGT